CCTTGTTTCTTCTCTCATAATCACTGACAACTTCAGTTGCTTCATCCCTGTAGAAGTGAAATTTGTCAAATTGTTGAAGTCATGGATATTTTTCATAAAGATCACTCTGATAAAGACCTCAATGCCAGGGCCTATTGCTCTCATCAACACCCAAGCAACTTTGCCTTAGCCATTGTGACTTACTTGGTTGGAGCATCATCCTGTACATCAAAAAGTTGCAGGTTTGATCCCTAGTCCAGGCATATATGGGAGGTAACCTATCCATGTTTCTCACATCTCTCTCTCCCTCTCTCTCTCTCTCTCTCCCCCCATGCCCTTCTTCCTTCTCTAAAAATCAATAAATATATATCTTTAAGAATACCTGAGCAACTTTATAAACATGACTTTACAACTATATAGGCTGAGTACTAATATAAATCAGTTTCTTTCCTACTGTGTTATTCCTATACATCATGACTCCTTATAAAGGAAAATCTTAACAAATGATCATTAGTGATTAAAAAAAGTATTAATTTTCCCCAGACTTCATTTAGGTTGAGTTTTATTTCAAAACAAAGTTTACAGATAATACCAAAAGGTAGATTTTCACAGAGAAATTGTTTGCTTGTTGTTATTTTCATATGGAAGAACCTAAGAGTGATTTTCAGTGTCAACTGGCACTAAATTTCAAAGTAACTTCGAGAACTCAGTTAAGCCCCTTTCAGATTCACGCTAATAAAAATTGATGCACTATAGCTTCACCTTTGTCCATACCACCATTAGCATTAGTATCTCCCGTTATTAAAATGATTATAACATTGGGTTAATAGTGGATCATAGCATTTTGTTCATGTGAAAAAATCAGCCCTACTGAAAGAATATTTCATGATGAGGATCTGGTGACTTTTTAAATTTTTTTTTATACTGGTGATGAGGTGAGAGCTAGAGAAGTATTCAGTTAAATTTTTTTTTTAAAGGAAGAAAACCAAAGTTCTATTTTTGGGTTTTCTGCCACTGACTCATAGTATTAACTTGAACCAGTCACCCATCCACACAAGAGGCACAGTAAATAGAGGAGAAAGTGAGAAAATGCTTCAGCTTTCCTATTTTAATATTGGAGACCTGCTGAGATCACTTATATAAATATTTCTCTTTGAGCTCCCTAGAAGGCAGGAACTTTATAAATATGTAGTATTATTGTTGCACCTTAGGTACAAGTAGACAGAAAATTATGATACTACCATATTTACATAAGAAGTTACTTATTTCCAGGCCATGCTATTTTATACCAAGCAACTTCGCATTGGCTTGTTGTCCTCTGTCAGGCTTTGTGTGCCACCCCTGTCCTCCCCTCGCAGCCGATGAGTGTGGAAATACAAATAAACCAAGGTGAGGGAGCGCCGCACGGCTGCAGCCACACTGGCTGATCTGAACCGGTGCAGCGGAATGGGTGAGGGTCCCAAATAAACGTTACACTTAAAATTCCTGACTGAAAAGTGTGAGAAAATTATTCACTTTGAGAATGAGTAATTTGGCTGAATGTTCTGAACTTAAGTACAACCTCGCTGACTATCTAGCTTTGCCTGCTGTTTCTCTTTTGGATACGTTTAAAGAGCAGATATCTAAAAAAAATAATAATATTGTAACTGAAATGTTTAGAGTTATTCTGTTTCAAGTAAAATCGTACAAAATTAATTCACCTGTCTCATGCAAATTCTTGTCCAAAAAGCTGTTCCTCCAAGGCATTAATGGAAGTAGCTTCTGGAATGATGTCAGAATATACATCAGGGATATTATTGGATGGTGGAATTCCAGGTGATTTTTTTTTTTTAGTTTACTTTCTTATTCATACTTTTCTTTTTGCATTACCTAACCTTTTTCTTTAAATAAAAAGTAATGTTTAAAAAAAAATAAATTTGAGCCCTGGCGGGTGTGGCTCAGTGAACTGAGTTCTGGCCTTTGAACCAAAGTGTTGCTGGTTGAATTCCCAGTGTAGGGCACTTGCCTAGGTTACAGGCCAGGTCCCCAGCAGGCGGCGCGCATGAGATGCAACCACCCATTGATGCTTCTTTCTCCTTCCTGTCCCTTCTCTGACAATAAATAAATAAATCTTTTTAAAAAAAGTTAAAAACATGAATAAATTTGAAACCCCTTCCCACTGATCTCATTCTTCATTCTGCCATATACCCCACACTTTTCATGGATCTACATTTTCCTTCTGCTTTCCTTATATGGTAATTAATTTCCAAATTGGGAAACTGAGACTTCTATGCAATTGAGTAGGGAGGTGGTTCTGCTAGGGAACTTAGGCAATTTATAAAGCACCCTTAGATAAAATTTTTCCCTTTTGTTTTCATCTACTGTGGTAATTCAAACCAAAGCACAGCGGGTCTCCTAAGTATGAATTATGCTAATAACATTCTGTTTGTTGACCAATTGTAAAATGATTATATAATTTTAACATTTCTTGAGCACTCCAAGTGTTTTAGATGCAGTGCCAGAGACAAACAAAAGACAATACCTTCATACTCAATGACCAGATCTTACTTAAAGAAAGAATAAAAGCCATTATGACTTCCTCTTTTACATATTTATGCATCATCTTCTTATTTTTGCCTCATACAAATGCAGAGAAGAATATTAAATCATATCTGGGGGCCATGCTTTCCCCCTATAATCCAGCTTTGTTAAAAAGGTCTCTACCACTTGGATCAGGATCAGGAAGTGCATTTGCTCTTCCCACAACTATTTATTAAGCCGCTCCTGCATGCTGGTCCATATTCTCAGCAGGGGGTTTAAACCAGGGAACCTGAAGCTGTTCCTGACTTGAGGAGGCTCCCGGAAGAACACAAGCACACAGACAGCGGAACGGTAGGGTGCCATCATGCAGTCTACAGCACTATTCCGCAGGCACCACCCTGAAGGGTGGGAAGGAGGATTGGGAAATACTGCAAAGAACAGAGAGGAGAAAAGGCAGTCTTGGCAGAGTTCGCAGTCCAGAAATGGTCAGCCCCTGATGTGAATGACACAGCAGGAATCTCTTGAGAATTCTGGAGGTAGTTGTCATATGTCTAGAGGGCAATGGGTGACTAACATAGGAGTATGAGAGGTGAAACTCGAACACTAAACGAGAGTAACTTCTAGATGTGAATTTGGAGTTTGCATAACGAACACCAGGAAGCAGACCTAGCTATGTGTTCCAGGCTCCTCTAGACTAAGAATAAAATTAGGGTCACAAAATAGGAAGTTTGCCTTTGATCACTCTGGAGTAATTTAACCCCCCTGAAATCCTGGACAGTGTGGTGAGTGTGCTTCACATAGTGCCAAGAACCATTCTTCTTGGCCTTCATGTCCACCATTCATATTCTCTCTCTCTCTCTCTTCTCTCCATCCCTCTCTCTCTCTCTACACACACACACACACACACTCCCCTCTTCCTGGAGCCAGCAGGAGCGAAGCTCCTGGTATTCACAGACACTCAGTTTTCAGGTGGTAGCCCTTAGGTTGCTGCAATTGATGCTGCTTCTCTCATGTCCACTCAGCGGGCCCTGCAGTTGCTGATAGTTCATACTCTCAGTGCCAAAAGTTCTATTAAGGCATTGCAGACTCTTTTATTTCTTGCCTTTTCCCAAGGTTTCAACATCACTCTTCGCTGACGTTGGCCTTTTGTCATTGGTTAACATTGCGGACGCAAATGCCTGTCTCCTTGGGATGAGCTCCCTCCCTGGTAAGCAGATCCACTTGAGGCCTGCCTTCCAGACACTGACAAACATGCCTGAATCTTTGGGAGAACAGTTCTGATGCATGCTGATAACTTTGGAAAACTTATGAGAAAAGAAATAGGAAGAGAAAAAAGGAGCAAGGAAAAAAAAAGTTAAAACCTGTCTTCAAGAGAGAGAAAAAGAAGTATAGGTGGCTTGCGTGGGGCTTCTGAATCCAGACTATATAGTATATATTTATAGTATTCTTCTTACCCATATTTTTCACCTATCCTCTTATATTATATTATATTTTGTATTGTTTGTATTTTTGTAAGCCACCTTATAACCTTTTTTTGAAACATGGCAGAGTATAAGTCAGTCAATAAATAAAGAAGGTAATTTACAGTTGCCATGTTGAGTAATTAGCTTTCTGAAGGTAGGAGTGATGTGGTCAAAGGCAGGGACAAAACGCTTTTTGATAAACATGGCTATGGTCAGAACTTGAAATAGCAAGAAAGGAGGACTTCAAATTAAAATCTAACTGCCAAATGATGCTTTAATTCTGGCCTGCTCTACTGATGGAAAAGTAGTTTGGTTGGCAGATTTGTCGCCTCGAAACCAAACCAAACGCAACCCAACCACACCCGTGCGGTAGACAAGCATCAGGGTGCTGAGGCCTGAGGTCAAGAACAAGACTTCCCCAGACTTGGGGACCAGCAGGGTTAAAGGGTGAGGGAAAAGCGCTGGAGGGGAGTCGCGCCCTTCCCCCGGGGACGGTCATCGCTGAGTTCGGTGGCTCCGGGAAATCAACAGCGAGGGACAGAAAGATGTTACACGACGAGGCTGCCTCTCACTTTCCCTCCACCAAACCCAGGATTATCTCTTTCTCATACTCAACTTCTCCTCTCCCGGGCTAGGCTAAACTTGCCCTCTCATCAATTCTCATTCTTCCCGCGGGGATCCCGCGACCCCGCTGAGCCCAGCAAGTGCCCACGCCCTCCCCGCAGGATCACTCTCCCTCGTCCTTCCCCTCCTTTTTCTGCAGGACGCCCCTCGCTTTCCCTGCCACCGAATCCAGACCCCCGGGACCCAGTCAGGGGCGCGGAGAGGCAGGTGGCTCGGGCGGGAGGGCGGGACACGGCTAGAACCCTCAGGGCACCGGCCCGACCGGACGGGGAGGGAGTGCGGGTCCTGCCCCTCCCGGCGGGCGGCGGACGGAGGGCGGTGCCAGGCTCGCGCTCGCGCCGCCGCCCCTCGCGCCTTCTCCCCGCTCCGCCAGTCGGCGAGAGCCCAGGTGTCTGCGGGCCGGAGGCGCGGAGAATGTACGGCTGGTTGCTGCTCCTGCTGTGGGCGCAGCTCCCCCGGGCGGCGCCGGGGGGCTCGGGCAGCACCTTCCCGCACCGCACGCTCCTCGACTCGGAGGGCAAGTACTGGCTGAGCTGGAGCCCGCGGGGCAACCAGCTCGCCTTCCGCCTCGAGGTGCGCACCGCCGGCTACGTGGGCTTCGGCTTCTCGCCCACGGGGGGCATGGCTGCGGCCGACATCGTCGTGGGCGGGGTGGCCCAGGGGCGACCCTACCTCCAGGTAAGCGCGTCCCCTCCCGGAGCGCACTACCCCGGGTTGCGTCCCTACCCCAAGGTAGGCGCGAGTGCGGGGCCACCCGGCGCCACCGGCTGTCTCTCCGGCCGAGGCTCGACGCCTTCGCCCCGCGCAGCCCCGGGCACGCTCCCCGTGGCGGTCAGCTCCGCACCCCCGGAGCCCCCGGAGCCCCCGGAGCCAGCCGTCCGGCTCCCCGCCTCCGCCGCTCGGCTCAGAGTTTTCGCTCCCGGAAGCTGAGCACGGGTGACTCCAGGCAGTTTTCCGTCTATGAACAATTTTCTGTCCCTCGCGCCCCACTTAATAGACCCCCTCGTTCACACCTGCCGCGCATTCCCTTCATTCCTGATGGAAAAGGAGAGGGACCCCGGCTTCGGGGACCTAACGGTCCGCTCTCAGGGTTGGAGGGGCCGCAGAGTTTTACGCATTTTGCGGACTTGCTGCCTAGGGTCGGGGACTCTGCGAGTCACGGCTATTTGGGACCCCCGAGGTGGGGGGCTGGTTTCAGCTACTTTTTCAGAGAGATGAAGATAAGTCTCCAAGAATCTTTTAGGATCTTCGCTATTCTGAGAGCCGCGTTTAAGGATCTGCAAAACCTAGACCCAGGGAAAATCCCTTATTAAGTGGCAAAACTTTTCACGTACTTTAATAGCTAACAAAGCTAATTTGACAGCTGGAGGTTTGTTTTGAAAGAGTAGCGACGTTGCCTCTTCATAGGTATCTTTGACTAGGAAAAAAGAATTGCGAGATGCCCAGAATGATTAGGTAGTTAGGTGTTCGGGACATCTTGGTTCATTTGATCTTGACCAGCATTTGGACACTTTTCCACGACGGCATAACAGCGTAGTTACTTATCGAAGTTCATCTAACCGTCCTGTGCTAAAAGTCTCTTGATTCAGATGAAAATTCCTAGTTGTTTTGGTATTGTGTTAGGCTTTGATGATATTAAAATAAGTGTACCTCATAGATTTCAAAGTGCATTTCTCTGTAATTTTATTCCTGGCTTTTGGGTTTGATTTCTACAACGTTCTGATGGAGATGCCATCACATTTGAACCCTGATTCTGGCACTGAGCTGCTCACATTGGCTGGAAATAAGGAAACTGACAGCAATTAAAACTTCAAAACCATCCTCTTCTCTCTTTTTTCCCATAAATTAATCCTTCCCTCCCAAACTAAGTACTCTACAACTGCAATAAAATAAAGTTTTATGAGGATAACACTCTGTTGAAGTCACTGATGTATAAATTTTCTTCAGTTGCAGCATCTCAGACATTAAAAACCACGAATTTGACCTCATACACAGGCCTCACGAGGCCTCTCTTAACTCTCTTGTGATATGAAGTAGACAATACCTTAAATAAATACCTATTTCAACCAAATCTTTTTGTTTGGTTTTTGTTTTGTTTGTTCTAGGATGGGGAGGGTAATATGCTCCTTAACTATCCCTGCATGTTTTATTGAAGGAAACATGGGAATCTTACTAAGTTAATATCGTAAAACAGGATATACTATCACAGATAACTTGAAATTGTTTTTCTTAAAAGAGAAGCATTTCTAGGAACTCCACTCAATTTAATATCAAATGGAAGGCCAAGAGTAGACTCCTGTTTGAACGTGCCATAATGGGCCCACCACAAGCACAGACTTTGTTAAATAAAGAGGGATTTCACACTGCTGGTGGTTCTTTATAAAGATTGCACAAGAATTAATTAAGTACTCTTTAGGTTGATTTTGAACCATACAGCTTTTCTTAAAGTAATTAGTAGATACATATCACTATGAGATAAACCTTGTAATGGACACTTTTCTAATATATTTAATGAGCAAGAAATAGGGTTTTTTCCTTGATTTTTATTCCTAAAGAAAAAGCCTTATTTTCACATATAAAGATAAGCGTTTTCTTAGTTGGCTGACTTCCTTTACTATTTCATTTCCTCAAACATCCTAATCATGTTAGGACAAATATGATACAATAAAATTATGCTAATCAATTAAGCTCAAAGATAATTTATTAAAAGCCTCTAATAAAATTAAAGACACCAGAGACTAAAAATACAAAGAAATGTGTCAGATCCAGCTCATTCATCCAAATTGGATGATTCCATTTTCCAACAGTTGATGCTAAATCCTCTCCCTAGAAATTGTTTGAGAGTCTTCCTGTAAGTGGTGTGGTAAGGGTGTTTTCAGCAAGTAGATCCAAAGGTTAATAGGGTTCCTAATCATAGTATATGCAATTGCGATAGTAGACTTTGGATTTGTGTAATTTTACTTGCAGGAAGAACAAACTTTACATGAATCAGTGAAAGTAGAGCACTGGCTTCTGGGGCTGCTTTTCACGTGCAGCAGCTACTGCAGTTGGAGACGGCATCAGGCTGTACGATAACCTAAGCTGATGCCCCCGCCGCCTCCCCTTGGGACTCTTCCCCATTATTTGATTTCACCCTTTCTTAAGTTTTACAGACTCGACGTCTTGAATAGATTTTTCTTTTGTTCTTCTATTATTCTGACTTTTATTTTTCTGATTAAACCCTTCTTTTCAGTGGGATGTAACTGCTGAAATAACTGTGTAAGAACAAGTCCCAACCAACCACGTAGAAAATTGTTGGCTAAATAGAAGTTACAAACCCAAATACCTTTATAGGACAGGCAGCGAATGCGGAAGAGTGATGGGCTTGAGTGGGTCACGCAGGATGTAATGCAACAGAAAAGGAGAGAGGATGGAGGAAACCAGAGTTTTTGCAAGTGAATTACTGTTATATGGGAATGCACATCAAGTATTACCAGATTTTCTGTCTTGTTTTGTTTTGTTTGTTTTGTTCTGTTTTGGAGACAAAACAGGAATTTAATTGTGTGTGTGTGTGTGTGTGTGTGTGTGTGCAATAAAATCTTCTGATTGCTAAGTACTGGCCACAATTCAAGTTTGTTCAAACCACCATGTAGTGCACATGTACACACATGGTTTCAGTTCAGATAGACCCCATGGACACCTTTCTCAGGGACCAAGAGGAAAACAGCTAATGTTAATAAAGAATCCCACCCCCCAATTATGAGAATCCATGAAAGGCAGAGAGGTGGGTTCCATTTCTTTTCAGGTGAGGTTTATTCTGTGCCAAGAACATTCTGGTCAGTGTGAGAGGGGACTTCACCCACTATTTTGATTATCTATTGTGTAACAAACCATGCCAGAATGTACTGGCTTAATTCAAGGATAGTACTTATTTTGCTCACAAATCTGCAATTTGAGCAGGACTTAGTGGGGACAGATCTTCTCTGTTCCATTTGGCGTCAACCCCAAGCTGAGAGGTTGGAATCATCTAAAGGTTTGACTGGCAGTTGATGTTGGCTGTTGTCTGGGACCTCAGCTGGTACTGTGGTGGGAATATGGTCTCTGTAGCGTCTGGGCTTCCTCACAGCAAAGTGGCTGGGTCCCAACAGTGAACATCCAGAGAGGCCCCTGTGGAAACTGTCTAGCCATTTCCAACTTAGCCTTTGAGTCATGTAATAGGTCTTTTGCTATAGTCACAGTCCCGCTGGATTCAGGAGGGAACATAGACTATACCCCAACATCATATTGTAAGGAGGTCACACGGTAATGAAGTATATCAGTATGGCCATCTTTGAAAAAACATTCTATCATACCCATCCTTGCAGTCTTGCCACCGTCTCCTTTTGAAGTTTGAACCTGTCCAGATGCATCCACTCTCTCTTGACACTGCTGAGATTTGGAAGCGGTGTTTACTTATTCACCTTCTTTTTGTCCCCCCGCCTCATATTCACACACACACACACACGCGCGCGCACACACTTAATACTCATAAGAAGTTAGTGAACAGTTGATAATGTCTCCCTTGTCCTCCTATTCTATACTCCCACTCCTCCTCACCACTCCCCGACCCCCACAACGCCTTCTGAACTTCCACAACCCATACTGGTCAATGGTAGTCAATCACCCAATGAGTCTACCTCCAGAGGGCAGTGTGACATTTGCTTGTCAGTTGGTAGAATGAAAAACCAGATTTAATAAGTCCCTTGCAGGGCAACAGACTTACTATACCCAGAGAGGAGGCATTATGGGAATTCCCCCTGCCCATTTTGTAACCCTCTGACCCTGTCTGGAGATATTTCCGGAAATGGTACATCATCAGGTACTACCACAATGGGGAAGAAAAGAGAGAAACGTGGCTGCGAAGGGAAGCCTGTCTCAGTGCACTCTGTGAGGTAGATTGTTCTGCAGCTGCTTACCCTTGGGGAGACGGTGCTCCAGGGGTGCTGCTGAGGTCACTCTCTCCCTACACTGTCTTTCACAGAATTGCCAGGGGCGGGGGTGGAAAGCAGTTCTTCCTTTGGCATTGGCTTTTGAAAACTCCACTAGCTTTTTCTCAATGAATTAACTCAATGCTCACTTCCCTGATGGATTGTGTCCTTTCCTTGTACTTTGCCCCTTTCTGACACAGAGCAGTCCTACCCCCACCAGAGCCACTGTGAGTCTCCATTTGAGGCGAGTGACTTGGGCTGATGAATGCCCAGTTTGTGTGAGTTAGAGAAGAGGGCGGCATTGTCGGATGTGCTGTTGAATTTGCACAAAAATTGATTCACTCTTCCTCTGGGGGTGCGCATCGCTGGTGAATGAAGGCCAAAATATGTGTCATCATTTGTTACAGCCTTGCTTGTTGGCTGTCTCTAAAACTGAAGCCTTTCTGTGATGAGAAGTGAGTCTTCGGCAGCAGCGTAATTGCTGCTGGGCTGCTCTTTGAGGGGCTAAGGAAGTGCTTGGAACTGATTTGAAATCACAGAAAACAGTGAGCATTCTTTGTGGTTAATGATGTGCTTCTTTTAAGTGCACCCCAGCCAACGGCAACAAAGAAATGTTTGGAAAGCAAATTGAAAAGCTGTAAGGGAAAGATGAAGAGAGTGTGCAACCTTGACACAGCTCAGCTGGGGCTTTGTTGAGAGATATTTATAAGTCTTTGGATAATGCCCCCCAAT